GAAATAGTTGAGTTCGAGCTTTCACGTGCAAAAAATGAATTGTGTTCGTGAATAGTTTGATTCGAATAATAGCTCAATGTTAAGCAGTCCCGGGTAGAAAAAAATCCTGGCTACACCCCTGGCTGTGGTGGTACATAAAATTAATGCGAGTCACACTTGCAAATGATGATCTACCTTGGCCTCATTTTGGTCCCCAATACTATAAAATCGTCGCATATATAATGTGAAATTTGATTCTCTTTTAGCAAAAGGTCGTGCTTACATGCATATCATCTGAAATGGTAGTGGTAGTGGTACGTCCTAACGCAAACCAACTTGGTTTCTGATGGACAAAATTATTTGAGAATTCATGCTCTTTATTTCTTACATTTCCAAAAATGAAAAATGTTGATATACTAAATGATCGAATTGTCTCAATTGGTTCACTTGCAGTCGAATACAGCTCTGAGCCTGCAACAAGAAACCAGACTAAAGCAAATGGGAGCTACTGTAAGGAACGCATCTTCCTACTTGGAAAGGTTGAGAGTAAAGGAGGGGAGGGAGAAATTAGCAAGAAACGTGATGGGGAATATGACGGTCGAGCAGCTATCGGATCTCATGTCTTTCTACAACATGATGGGCCAGATATGTTCTGAGGTCTTGGATCGAAAACTTCATGGGATAGTCAATGAGCTCACACCTTGATGGTGCAAGTGTCTGTGGTGGTCGTCGTGGATGTATTTTCTTCGCATTAATGTTTTTTTTTTTTTGGTAGACAATCACAAGGAAAAGGTTTGCAATAGTTTCTGTGATAAATCAAATGTACTGGAATTGGGATGAATAATTAATATTAAGAATTTTCTTCACATTAATTTTTTATTGGTAGACAGTCACAAGGAAAAGGTTGACATTCAATTTAAGAGAAAATTGCTGATATATATTTTAGTTCAGTCTATATCAGATGCATTATCCATATTTGTTAACTGCTTCGTACTCAATAACACAGAAACAATGGATTTAGCTAAAAAATGTAGAGTTCTATTAATCACAAATGAAATGAATAACCAAAATCAACTCAGTTTTGTTTTAAAGTTTGAGTACAGCTACAATCGAGCGCAAGAAAATCTGGTAAACATCCATAGAAACAATAAGTATGCTCAAGCCAAAATGGTTCGAATATTATTTTCCAAGTAAACGGCGAGTACGCTGATTGGCACCTTTGACACGAAAATTCAGCTCGTCAACATCATCCTCAACATGACTCAGAGCTTTGTTCTGCCTGCATTGATAAAAGTCGGAAAAAAAAGGGGTCAAGTTCATAGATAGAGAAGAATGCTTTTTTTTTTTTTATAATAAATTATTATGCGAAGCTAGCAAATGCAAAGCGATGAAGATGATATGGGGTAATAAAAAGACCGACAAACCTATCGATTTCAGATCCCATGTCCATAGCCATATCCTTCAGGTCCAGCAAAAGATTACTTAAATCTGAAAGAGCATCATCTTGTTTCGCCTTTTCCACCTGCCACGTTAGAATACAATAAAAAAAAATAAATAAATAAAAAATAAAAAAAATTGGCATAATCAAACAATGACATCTTGAAGGTCTGAGATGAAATTCCAGAATGAAACTACACAAAAATTTAACATTTATAAGGGCCCTATTATCTTGATTTTGAACGGTATCTATAGTAAATAAACCAACATTTCGAACATACCTCAACTTTCTGCAATGCATTTGTGGGTTCGGGAGGTAGTGTGTGTGCACGTGATTGTCCTTTTGATGCAGAAGTTAAACCCAACCTTTCTCTCTGCTCCAAGTGATTGACCTTTCTTTGTACTGGATCATCTGCATGATCGTAAAAGTCTTATAAATTATAGAGATAGTAGTAATTTTAAAACCCTGCAACCTCAACAAGACTAATGGCTCACTGTTTGTAGGCATGTTTGATAACTCGTCATAAATTATTAATAATAAGATAGGAAAACACGACGAACCTTTGGTGATTATAGGACCTGTAATTGGGCGACTCATCTTAGGCTTCCATGTCTTGGAGAATAATCCCCCAAGACTCCCCAATAGCTTCTCACCCTAAAATCAACCAAAAAAAAAAAAAAGGTTGAGAAGAATATAGTTCTGTAATATGCTATCAAATCACCTTTGTTTGCAAAGTGACACTGAACGCGAGTGTGTGGTTTAACAATCAGAGTAATGCTATAAGTACATAATATTGTACATAGAGGTATACATAACACTCACATTGAGTGGACCCACCAAAAATAAAAAATCAAGTGGACCCCACTCCATGTGAGTGTTTATGTACACATCTATGTACATTATTATGTACTTGTAGCATTTTCCTAACAATAATATGTTCAGGATATATATATATATATATATATATATATATATATATATATATATATATATACATACATACATATATATATATAATTTTGATGGTAAAATTTGTTATCTAGTATCTACTATTATTGAAATCTTAAAATTGTTCGACCATTAAGATCCACAACCGGCCCCTCAAGAACACCTTGATAGAGAATGTCTCAGATTCTAACACACTCTGTCCCATTGCCTTAACCATGTATTATCATAATTACTTGTGCCTAAACCCGAGTATTGGCTAAACCATAGCAAAAAAAATAGAAAATGACATACCCTGCTGAGGTCATGCTCGATGTCAGCAGCAGCCTTGTGAGTTCTCGTGATTTGCTCTCCCTGTTGATGCAACGTGACCAAAGTCTTAGTAGCATCTTCCCTTATGTCCTCGGCAAGCTTGAGACAGTTTTTGACGGTTTTTGTAGTCTCTTGAGCTTTATACATGGAATAATTTTCCAGTTCCTGTACTGTTTGGTTTTCTATTCCTCCAAAGTCCCGAAAATCGTTCTTGTATCTGCTATTGTCTGCCGAAGAAAGATAGCTCTGGGCTGAGTAGGAACCTTTAACAGGACTTTCATCGAAAGGATTTGTGCTCATGTGCAGAGAAGGTTCTGAAGATGTTCGGCCGGAGGTTTTAATGGTTTTGTTACTATTATCTACCTCATCATCCGAGTCGAAAGGGTTAGTCCTGGTACTTAAAGGAAGCCTTGGAGAAGCTGAGTGTTGCTTAGAATATACAGGAGATCTGTTAAGACCAGCCATTTCTGTACAAGCAAAGTAGTGGAGGATGATTGGTGTAGGCTTATGTTCTCCAAGAAACCTTCACTTTCAACCAAAAAAAAAAAGTCTCACTCGGTTCACTGAAGATCCTGAAAAAGAAAATGGGAAAAGAAAGTCAAACAAAACATATGAGCATGTGCTCACTGATAAGCTACAGATACAAACACAAAGGAACAAATAGGGAAAAAGGAATTAGAGAGTTATTTACATGGTTTTTAACATATGGAAGTTAGAAGGGACTGACAGAGGGACTATAACAACACATAATGGGGAAAAAGCATGATCCAGAAATTGGTTAAACAAAAATCATACTTTTTCAACAAATATGTATACTTTCAAACTAAAACGTCACACTCTAAAGAACGACATATACCAATGTATGGCATTTATAGCATGAGTAAGCATTTTTTTTTTTTAAAACGTATGATTGGTTGATCCACCTAATGGTTAAAACGCGCGCTCATACAAGAATTTGTGTTAAACAGAACACCAAACAAAATCAAGGATATAATAAAGCAACAACATCCAGCAACCAAACCAAGGAGAACTACTAAGAAGACACAAATCAATCAAAACCTTGTGGTTATGCCTAAGCGGAAAAAACCCAGATTTTATAATTTTCCTAACTCGTCGTGAACATCCACAACACGGCCTTCACCATTCGACATTTACACAATTCCAAAGTGAAGAAAACAAGTAAAAATAAACCATCAAGAAATCATCCAAGCAGTCACATAACACAACACATTGCATATTAGACGCAACAAGCAACAACAAAAAAATTGAAATAGCTGGAAAATTGAGCAAATACGCAAAAACCCAAAACAAGTAAACAACCCAACCCAAGCAAATAATCAATAGAGCGCCGCACAAACCAGCAACTGAGAACGAAAATCAAGTAAACATAGCATACAAACATCACAACAAGGAAAAAAAATAAAAAGAAGCCCAACCCAAATATGAAAATCAATTTATTTGAATTTGCGAGCGCAAGCTAAGAGATCTCGTATCTCCTGAAGCAAGAACAAGAAACAGCCGTTAATTGACTGCGAGTTTCAGTAAATCCAGAAAATAATAGGTTTATGAAGAAATTCAGGCGGTTACCTGAATTTGCAGAGAGAGGATTCGGTCACGCCGTATCGGAGGAGCTCCGATGGTAACGCCGGTTGCTAAAATAAATTTCAGTTCATTTCAGAGAGAGAGAGAGAGAGGGAAAGAGGTTTTTGAAGTAGGTGTAGAGAGAGATAAATGAGATGCTTTTTGTGTGTGGGTTTGCAGTGTAAAATAAAATAGTAAGAAACAAAACGATATTATGGTCCCGTTACGAAATTATTATGTCAGGATTTACAATTGTTAAATCAATTATTCCCGATGATTACATGATGATATAACGGTTACAAGCCCAACGGAATGGTTCCGTAACGGGACCGTACCATTTCTTTAAAACATGATATCAAAATTTGGCTACTTTGTAATTGGAATGAGTTTAAATATTTGGCGGTTTATGGTTATTTAAATTTCACAATTTTCATCAAATATTCGTACTCTCGTACTGAAATTTAGAATAATAAAAAATAATATATGTGGTTATTTAAATTTCACATTTTTCATCAAATATTCGTACTCTCATACCGAAATATTGAATAATAAAAAATAATATAAGTAAAAATATAATATTTCATTATATATTCTTTTCGGAAAAAAAAAAATATAATGGAACAATGTGACTAATTATGCCAACATTTATTTCCAGCATTATGACATCCTATAGTCACCTCACCTATACCAATAATAATTTTATTGAATAGGTATTTTCTAGCAAAAATTTCTTTTTTATTATTATTATTATATTAAATGAAATTTTCCTACTAATTTTTGAAGAAAATTTATATCAGCATATATTGAAAGTTATTTTATTTTATACCATAGGGGATTAATATTATAATTTCTATATATATTATAATTATATCCAGTATTATTATAATTAATTCAAAAACACATACACAAAATTGGACCGTTGCAACAACTTTTTGGTAATTAGAAAAAACTCGAACCTATACCCTACAATCTGTCAACCCAAATCCAGATCAATAATATCATTTAACTATATTCTTTTTTGTTATAAAAAAAAAGGTAACATTTTTCTTAATAAATTAATATGAGTAATTACTTTCACAATATAAATTAAGGATTAAGATATTTAACACAATATATGTCAAAGGAAACGAAACGTGCAATTTTAATAGTTGTTGATTTTAAAAGTGACGTGATGTGTAAAGTAATAAAATTGCGACAAATGTTATTATGTCAAACTTAATGTCAGCTTTTATATCAATGTAGCACGATCGATAATTTAATTAATTTCATATTATAGGGACAAATTTCATATTATAGGGACATTAACAATTACCAGGTAAAAGCACTCTAACTTACCATTATTAGAGGAATCTAATTCACCTCTTTTTTTTTTTTTGGTACAGGGACCTTCCGGTTTCCAGATCCACAGGGGAACCGACTAATTCGGAATCGAGCCGGGTAGGACCACAAGGGCGGCAAAGCTCTCCCTCAAGAGTTTTTAACACTGTTGCATTCACGGTGCTCGAACACGAGACCACTGGTTAAGCTAGAAGAGACTCAAGTCATCTCATCCAAGCGCTCTTGGGTATCTAATTCACCTCTTTGCTTGACTAAACCAAATCATATGAAACTTCCTTTAAAAACACAGAAGACTAACACAGTTTTGCAGCTCTTCAAAACAAGCCATAAAATGTACACTTTTTAGCCTCTCACTAATAAAAATCAAAGGTAAATGTGATACAATACAACACAACTGAAGTCCCTCGTTTGATCAGCACATCATGAAAACCCAATACAGAAGCTTTTCAAACAGTCGATCTAAGTTTCCTCACGAAAACCCGAGAGCAAAAACTTATAACTAATACTAACCGAAAAATTCAAGAAGAAAAAAAAAAAATCACATCTGATAGTAACATTTAGATACAGAATACTCACATATTCGGTCTATTGACAAAATAATTTATCTGACACTGTACTCTTCGTGTCCAATTTGCCTCTCACTGCTATACATAAATATGACAAAACCGAGAGGAAGGAACCTGCACTGAAGTTTTCTTCAAGGGTTAACAAAATAAGGAGAACAAAAAAAAAAAAATCATCATAGGATTAAGATGACTATTTCAAGGTACACACACCTGGAAAACAATATTCGAACAGATTGAAGAAGGCCTTTTAAATTATGAGGCCTTGGGAGTTTTTATTTCATGGTTTTTTCACAACAAGATCTTGACAGCTGATAGATTTTTGCCGATCTTTAGCAATCTTCATAACACAAAGAATTTAGTCCAAGAAAGAATTTAGCTGGGTACAAGAAAGAGTATGGAAATAAATTGCTTTAGTTTCACCTAACCTGAGCCTCCAATTCGGCTATTCTGTGTAGAGATAATTGTTCCACGCTTGCACGGCGTTTTCGCTCATCTTCAAGCATGAGCGTAAGTTGATACCTTAACTCAGCCATTTCTTGGGCCAAATCGTCAGCTTCGTCTTTAGCTTTCAACTTTTCCCCTCTTAGTTCTTCCTGGAAAAAAGGCCCGATTAAGTTTTGAATATATCGGGAGCTATATATATAGGTTATATTTAGGAAGCCCACTAAAAAAAGGAATTAATAATAAATCATATATGTCAAATATAAATGCTTCTCCTTTTGTTTGTTTGCCTTTTTTTTTTTCTGGCGATTTTTGGGAATGCTATGACTTGATGTGTCCAAATTGGAATTATCAGAATATAGAAAAAAATGTTTTACTTAACATACCTTAAGTTGTCTCACAAGGGCTTCGTAATCATCTATCTGTCGAGACATATCGGCCATCTTTCTCTGCAAATCCGCAGCTGATGCACTAGCAATGGAATGTTCGGAAAAGAGTGGGTCTAAAACAGTGCTGCAGGTTTAGGTTATGAGGAGTTCGAATAAGATAATAATTAAAGAACGAAATGCTCGAATTTTTGTAGGAAATTCCTCTTCTATGGTTCAAATGTATATAATTCAAAAAATAAAATAAAATTTGATTACTGATCTAAAGACTAAAAATGACATAACGTACTAGGATAAATCCACTCTTTAATTCAAATAGATTGCGAGAAAGATCATGCATTCTTATAATCCAAATAAATAACTATTAAATTCAGCATACGGGCATACCTCATATCTTTCTCTAATTTACTGAACGGCTGATCATGGTTTTCAAGCAATGACTCGTGAGACTGTCCATTTTTCCTCACAAATGCTCCGTTATTCAAATCAGAGCTTTGGAGATTTTCTCTCAAATATTTATTTTCCTTTGCTAAACTCTCAATCACCTTATTTGAATCCAGGTTCCGAAGCTCAAGATCTTGAATACACTCGTTCAGCTTGGAATTTTCTTGCATTTTTTCTTCCAGCAATTTCTTAGTTTCGAGGAGAATTTGTTCCAATGAAATGGACTCGAGTTTTGTGCTTTCTATTTCCCATTGATATTCCAATGTCATGGATGAAATCGATTCCTCTAGCTTTTCAACACGTGATTCTGAATAGCTTAGGGCCGAATTCGACATGTTCAATTGATCCTGCAGGTAATCTGTGATAAAGTTTATACTGTTTTTTAAGTATTAACTATAAATATTAGAAGTGAATTATAATGAAATAAAAGAAAGGCAAAAGAAATATTCATCCTTAAATTGTTTCATAAGCAGCAGCTCAAAGTGAGTAAGTGACCCCTGTTAGCAATTTAAGGGTTTGTTTGTTTATAAATAAACTCATTTCACAACTCAATCCATACTCAAAAATCGAACTCAACCTTAACCCAACTCCACTATCATCAATATATATCAATATAATTAAATAATACCAATCAATCATTCTTTTACATCACATCAACTTTAATTCACTATTCATCCATTCACATACTTTTAACTAACCCTTACTTCACATCATATCTCTCCTACTTTTACATCAAATGTAAACTCAATCTCACTAACAACTAGCCATACTACTTTTTTTTTTTCAAAATTAATCTTGATTAACCAAAAAAAAACCTATTTTGAGCATATTTATTTCTATCCAAGCACACCCTGAAGGAAATTAGTGTGTTTTTTACGCATGTAGAATTACACAGTAAAGTATATATGGATATTTTTCTACACACACACATAAGAGGAATCCGAAGAGTTGTACACATTATAGCAGCACCTATTTCTTGGCTACAATTACTGAGCTCTCTTTCCAAATCCGTGATGCGTCTCTTATCTTCTTGACGGGATTTGGATAATGTCTTAACATGGAATTCCAATCTCTGCATTAAAGAATTCCATAATCAACACAAAATGAAGTTTATTTTCTTTCTTTGTCCGCAGTTCTTTTAAACTTTTACTGTCAATGGAAATATAGAACCACTTACAAGTACTTATACAGTTATACTCAATGCTCTAATCCATTAATGACGCAATACAGGACAAAAGGTTCACCAAAAACATCTCAAATTGGGATAGAACGAAGATTTTGCTGAGTTGAACACTAAATTTTGTGTGTTTTGTTTTGATTGTTTTCTGATAAGCCCAGCAAAGGTAGTCACAACATTAGATCGCACATAAAAGTCAACAAGGCGAAGACAGTATAAACAGCGGTGCTTTTCATAACACAGAAAGGCAAACACTCTACAAGCCGTTGGCCTAGAAGGGGATGATAGGAAAAACCACCATCATGGGTCGTTAAAATGCTTTTTACGATATCACCTTACAATAACATAATGTAATTAAAAGAAAGTTAAAGAAATACTCTGATTAGATCAAAACTCTCGGATTTTGAATCTCTCAGCATCTCCTTCTCCTTTGTCAGCTGTATAACAAAAAAGGAATAACAAACATTAAATGAGTAAGATGACAAAATAGGCATGCCAGAAAGGAAATAATGGATATGAGAGTGTGCCATGAAGACTCAAAGCATTATATTTTGAATTCGTTTCACCAGTCAATCACTTACTCTAACACACGAGTAATTTACATAATCGATAAAACACGCATATTATAGGTTCGCAAATCATTAAAGTTTACAGCAATCGCCAACATTCCTTGAATTCATTGTTCATGATGATAAACTCATGTACAAGACGAAATCAAAAATCCATTTCAGCTTAGGACATTAAATCAAACGAGAGCAAGCTGGTGACCATAAGGAAAAACATAAATAAATCAAATATCAACAACATCAAGACACAAGGCTATTATTACATCCAAAGTATCTCCATCTTCGTTTCCATGTTCTTTACTTTTTACCTATCTTGCTGACCCGCTTTCAAAATTTAAACAATCCAATCGAAACACGATTCTTTTACCTCCTTAAAACGTTCCCTGATTTCTGCTAAATCGTCTTCATCGAGAGAAGAGTCGGTACCTCCACTTAATCCACTCGACATCTGCAAATAACAAATTCAATACAAAGCACATACAACCAATAAAGATACAAAATGATGCCCTTAGCCCTTACTTTCTTGTTCTGTCGTTATCCACATTTTCAGGAAAACAGAAAACAGCAATCAAGGATCTCGTAGAACACTAAGAACACTAACAACACCAAATGTTTATAGAAAAAATACCAAGAAATCGGCCATTAATCAAACCCAGAACTTTAATCCGTCCACAGTACAAACCCAAATTTGGGGGCGAAAAAAAAAAAGCAAAAGGAACAACTGATTGTGGGGCGTTAGAATCCGCGTACCGTGACGAAGAGCTCCAAATCTTGGAAATTTATGGGGAAGTTGGTGTCCTTTCAAGTATTAACCCTGTGCTCTGCAGAATTAGAAACTGGATTAAGGGCTTTTTCTAGTTTTACAATAGCTTTCGAAGATGTTAATGGAGGAGCTCCAAGCCTCCATGAGAATGCTGGTTCGAAATGGGATGGGTACGAGCTTCTGAAATATGTTTTGGAAAATTATTATTTATTATAAACAAAATTTAGGGATGTGAATGTGATTGTAATGAGCTAATAATGAGATATAATAATTAAAACTAGTATTTGATCCTGTGCATTTGCACAGATATAAAACACATTTTTTGTTTGTATTTATTAATTAGACATGTACTTATATCATATAAAAATTATTACTTTTTCTTAAATTATTTTTATCATTCAAAATTGATTGAGATTTAAATTTTATTTTAACCATGCAACGTTTAAAATAATTTATATATTTGTGGCATATATTAAGGTGATTAACATAAATAAAAAAAATATTGGTGTTTCTGATTTTTAGAAAAAAAAAATATGTGTCAATCATATTTATCTTCCAACAATGCAACTAAAAGTGGTTACGACTCTGAATGTGCCAATCAACTTTAAGTTTCAAACATTAGCCGTTACACATTTGAATATTTTGCTACCAAATTTAGAATTAATTTAGTAACTAATCTAAAAAAT